AGGAGTTATGGGGAAATTGGTGGGTGTGCAGTAAGTCAGTGAGTGAGTGAGTGAGTGAATGAATGAATAAGGGAACGAAGCCACTTATATCCAGTCCAAGCCATGACCGAAGTCATCGTGTCAAATGCCGCGTTGCTGGGGGCTAGAATCGGACGGGATGGGTGGTGAGAAGGGGGCATGGTGATGGAGGGGCTGGCTGCCCGGTGGCCGTGGCAGTGGGCATTGAGGCATGTGTGCTTTGTGTGCCAGGGTGAGCTTCCAGGTCAGCTGCACGGCGGGAGCCCTGCCTGTCTTCCCCGGGAGAGCTCAGGTCTGTCTGGGAGCTGCTGGGCTGAGGTGGGAGGGCAGTGCTCTCTGGACGGCCCGCCGGGGAGGACGAGGGAGGGTCCAGGCCAGGGCTGTCCTCTCCCGTCCCGGGAGCTGAGCTGAGCTGAGGGTGTGCTTGGTGTCGTTGCAACCGGGGGCCTGGCCTTGCAGGGAGGGCCCGTCGCCCCTGGCTTACAGGAATGTCCTGTGGTCAGTGGGCCAAGGGTAGCGGAATCTGATTCCAGCAGAGGCTGGAGAGATGCGAGTTGCTGCTCCGTTTTCCCTTGCTCTGCCAGGAAAGGGGGATGTGGCTTCCGGGGTGGCAGGGTTGGGGAGTCCCCCCGAGGGCGGGCTGTGGGGAGCGGCTGCCTGTCATCTGGCGACCTGTTTTAGCCACTTCCCCAGAGCTGGGTCACAGGGCTTAGCCACGCCCCCTCCCGAAGCCGCGGCTCTCTGTGCACAGCCCCTTTCCGGGTGGGTGCTCAGGTGCCCCCAGACTTCCCCCAGGACTGGCCCAGGGCACCTGCTCGTACTTGTACTCAGAGTTCCACCTCCTCACCCCCAAATTGCTCTCTGTTCAAAGCTTAGGGTGACAGTGTCATGAGGGTACCATAAAACCAAGGATTTAAAACAACCCGGTGAGTGAGCTCTTGCCGGCCCTGAAGCCCGGCCTGTCCAGCCTGAGCTCTAGCTGTAGGGCCCCAGGGCTGCTGCAGCCCCTCCTTGCTGGGCTGGGGGACCAGAGGGAGCTTCTCCGGAAGCTCAGGACTTGGGACATTTTCATGCTGGATGCTGAAGATGGTTTGGTTTTTCACAAGCTGCAAAGCCTCGTTCCCACACCCCCAGGGAGCGAGACCACAGACGGCAGATAAGCGCTGGCCGGACCTGCTCTCCCTTCCTGGGCTGTGGGGCTGTGCAGGGGCCTAGGCATCTCCCTGCCGGCCCCTCTTATCCAAATCTCGAGCTCTACCCTCGAGGACGTGCCAGGGGTGGGGGCCCTTCTGTCCTGTAGCCGCGATGGCCAGGATGCCTGGTCCCTGCCGGTGGCCACAGGGGTCTGCACCATCTCTGCCGAGCCCTGGGCAGCTGGGCCTGCGGTTTCCCTTTCTGTTCTTTTTAATAAGCACTTAAGATCAGGGAAACCACAGCGCCTGACGCTTACTGGCTCTGGGGATTCCTGCCGTTACTTTGAAACCCTTACGCAACTCTGGAGCTTCACGTCACTGATCCTTTACGTTCCCTCCCTTCCCTCCCTCCCTCCCTCCCTCCCTCTCTTTTTTTTTTTTTTTTTGCGGTATGTGGGTCTCTCACTGTTGTGGCCTCTCCCGTTGCAGAGCACAGGCTCTGGACGTGCAGGCTCAGCGGCCATGGCTCACGGGCCCAGCCGCTCCGCGGCATGTGGGATCTTCCCGGACCGGGGCACGAACCCGTGTCCCCTGCATCGGCAGGCGGACTCTCAACCACTGCGCCACCAGGGAAGCCCCTCCTCCCTCTCCTTTTTATTCTTTCTTTTTTTCAGTTTTCTTTCTTTCTTTTCTTTTTTTAAATTTGTTTGTTTTTCCGTTCACCTGGTGATTACTATGTGTTTTATTTTCACATGTGCGCGCTCACTCCAGGGCAGGGTTGCCCCCCAGGGGACACTTGGCATTTCTGGAGACATTTTGGTTGTCACAAGCAGGGAAGGGATGCTACTGGCATCTGGTAGGTAGACACCAGGGATGCAGCAGAACATCTTATAATGTGCAGGACGGCTCCCACAGCAGAGAATTCTCTGGCTAAAGGTGTCAGCAGTGTCAGAATCCGCTCCAGGGTAATACAGGAATCTTCTTGAGGCAGCGGCCAGGCTTCTCCTTTCTCTGGACTCTTCCAGCCAGAAGTGGGGAGGGTAACTGACCGGAGATGCTACCCACCAAAGGCCAGAAAGAGGCCTGGCATGGAGTAGAGAGAGCACTGGACCAGGAGACCGGCTTCCAGCCCAGCTCTGCTCTTAGGCACATACATACATCTGCACATACATCTGGATAAGTCACTTTGCTTCAGTGAACTTGTTTTCTCATCTGGCAAATGGAAGAGCTGAAGAACACAGGATTCCGTGACCAGAGCCAGGAGCTGAACTGCAGGCAGGTTGATGTGGACCCTTTCTATTCTTGCTTCACTGAGCTGGTGGCAGAAGCCCGAGGGATTCTCCAGTACCAAGAGTGCCTTAGAAACCTGGTTTGATTTTCTTCTATGCCGAACGTGTCTGAGGCCGACTCACTCCATCCTCCTTCTGTCTTGTTTAGCCAAAGAGAGTTTTCCCCAACGTTGGCCTGAGAGCCCATGGCTGGCCCAGAGGGTCACATATGGTGACTCTCTCCTGGAGCGATGTGGAGGGGATGACCCTAAGGCCAGTACTTTTCATGTGTCTAGTTTAGGCGTCAGCAAACTATGGCCCAAATCTGGCCCACCACTTGTTTTTATATATAAAGTTTTATTGGGACACAGCCATGCCCATTTGTTTACATACGGTCTACTGCTGCTTTCCTACCACTGCGAAGGTGGAGCTGAGAAGCTGGGACCAAGACCGTGTCAGTCATGAAGCTGAGAACCTTTGCTGTCTGGACCTTTATGGAAAACGTTTGCCAAAACCTGGTCTAGCTGTTCCGTGACTTAATTGTTTAGACGTTAGATCCCAGGGCATGGGCAGGAGCGAAGGGCCGGCTCAGAGGTAGGGGAAGAGAACTTTCCTGAGGGTCTCGGGGGAAGGAGGAGAGAGAGGAGGGGGAGCTGACCGACTGTAGTGGGTCATCTCAAGGCCTTTCAGGAGTCCTCACCTGAGTCCGCCCAGCCGGGCTCACCTGTGTGGCAGGTAAGCCCCGGTGTCTCGCCACCCTTCCCTTCCCTGGAGCGACAAGCGCTATGACTGCCTGGGGGTTGGGGGGACCATCTGGCTGGGCATCACCAGCGGGACAAGGAACAAAGAACGAGAGCGAGGGGAGGGGGTTAGAGGGCACAGAGAGGTCAGGCTGGGAGCCCTGGAGCCGGGCCGTAGGCTGAAGTGACCTTGTCCTTGGGCTCAGGAGGGCAGAAAGGGAGCAACCCAGGGGCTGGGGTGGAGGTGGGGGGTGGGAGGGAGGTGTTAGCCTTTCAACAGGTGTTTGAGGATCGACTGTGCCACGCACTGCTGGACGGGATTCAGCGGTGACAGGCCCTTTGGAGCCCTCCGGAAGCTCATAGTTCAGTGGGAAGATGACAGTCAGGCCGAGCCGGCAGTGGTAGAATGACAGAGCCAGTGCCTGCTGGGAGCAAGAGCGTCCACGGTGCTGGGGGTCGGGCAGGAGGTGGTCGGGAGGTCTCACCTGGGCTGAAGCAGCTTTACTGGAAGAAGTGACAGCTCAGCTGAGCCCCGGAAGACGTTGGGTGAGCCAGGTGACAGGTATTCTAGCGGGGAGCTGTGCATGTCCAGCCCTGGAGTCCGGGAGACGGAAGCTCAGGGCCAGGGTGGACCGCAGGGGTAGGGGAGCAGCGAGGAGTGAGGCGGGGACCGGGTGTCGGATCGGGGGGTCTGCACTGGGGACCGGGTTTTGATTTAGCCAGAAGGTGAAGGATGGGGGAAGGGGAAGCAGGGCCAACTGGGATGTGGTGGCCTAGCTTAGGGCAGCATCGGGGGTGAGGAAGAAACCCGGTGGGACATCCTGGGTTGCCCTTGGCAACAGGGAGGATGGGCCTGGAATGTGGGGGCCGATGAGAGCTGTGCTGTTAGCTGGACTGGTGGCCCAGGACCACCCCCTCACCCGCCAGCCTTGGTTAAGTCCCTGCGCCCACATCACCCCACTCTGCTCAGCCCTGCGCTGCTGGGTTTAGCACTGGGGGCTGGTCTGGCTTCAACACTGGACTTCAGCTTGGCCCTTGCCAAGAGCTGCATGGGTGGTACCTGCCAGGAGACCTCAGAGGCTCTCCTGGCCTCCCTGCTGATGCTTTTTGGCTCAGGTTAATCACCTGGGGGTCTGCATTCCCAGGGCGCCTCGGCCATCTAGGGTTTAGTCTCCGCCTCCCTGCACCCCTAGTGATTGAAGACACTGGGAGTTTCCCAGTCTTGGTCTCTGAGAGGCGGAGGGTGGATCCTTGGCAAAGAGCTCGGGGCTCCACTGTGGAGACGTCGCAGGCAGGATCCTCACCTCCGGGATCCTCGGGACACCCACCACGGGCCGGAGGGCTGGGGAGCTGGTCCTGTGGGTCCCGGCAGCTCCACCCGATTCTGATTCAGAGAGTGAGCTGCCGCCCACATCTGTGGAGCACGTCTGTCCCAGACAGCGCCTCCCTGGGGCCTGTGCCGTCCTCTCCCTCCTCTAAGGACCGTGACTCAGAATGAGGTGTCCACTGACTCCACAGGGGCTGAGGTCAGGCAGCAGGGAGAACTAACTTACAGCGTGTCTCCGGACCGGCTGTTCACTGGAGTCACGTCTCTCCTGGGTGGGCTGCCTGGAGCTGCCTGTGTGCCTCCGCCTCTAGGGGCGTCCTGGTTGCGGGGTGCGGGAGGCACTGTCCTTTAGAAGAAGGCGCTCTCGCTCAAGTCTCAGGGAGAGAGTGCCTGTGGCTACCTGAGCTCCAGAGAGGTGAGCGGAGGTTTAAATAACAGCCACCCCTGAGCAGATGGGCTTTTGTGCTGAGCGGACAGCTGGGTTAACCCTTTCCCTGCTGTTCTCTCCTTGCAGCCCTATGATCTCCTCCTTATCGCCCCCTCCGCCCGCCGGACTTCAGATCTGACCTCAGATCCGCCTGCTGTCTCTGGAGGGGACCCCCCTCCTCCCCTCCCCCGCCCCCCGGCAAGATGCCGATCCTCAAGCAGCTGGTGTCCAGCTCCGTGCACTCCAAGCGCCGCTCCCGAGTGGACCTCACGGCCGAGATGATCAGCGCCCCGCTGGGCGACTTCCGCCACACCATGCACGTGGGCCGGGCGGGGGACGCCTTTGGGGACACCTCCTTCCTCAACAGCAAGGCTGGGGAGCTGGACAGTGAGTCCGTGGACGAGCAGGCCGCCGCCTCCTCCAAGCGCGGCCTCCTGTCCCGGAAGTTCCGGGGCAGCAAGCGGTCGCAGTCAGTGAGCAGGGGCGACCGGGATCACAGGGACGTGCTGGGCCCCCTGCGGGACTCGGCCCTCTTCGTCAAGAACGCCATGTCGCTGCCTCAGCTAAACGAGAAGGAGGCCGCCGAGAAGGGCTCCAGCAAGCTGCCCAAGAGCCTGTCCTCCAGCCCCGTGAGGAAGGCCACGGGGGAGGGCGGCCCGGAGGAGGCGGGGCCTCGGCGGAATGGGGCCTCCGCCCCCCACTCCCCAGACCCCCTCCTCGACGAGCAGGCCTTCGGGGACCTGGCGGATCTGCCCATGGTACCCAAGGCCAGCTTTGGGCTGAAGCACGCTGAGTCCATCATGTCCTTCCACATCGACCTGGGGCCCTCCATGCTGGGCGACGTCCTCAGCATCATGGACAAGGGGGAGTGGGAACCGGAGGAGGAGGGGGAGGCCGGTTGCCATGGTGACGAGGACCCAGCAGGCGGCCCCACCCAGGCTCCCCCGCTGGCGGCGGCAGCCCCTCTCCCGGCAAGGCAGGAAGGAGCGGGGGGCCCGGACCTGCCCGCGCTGCCGTCGCGTGAGCTGCCGGAGGAGGGCTGGGCCGCGGGGGCCCCCAGCCCCGGCTCGGCCCGCAGCGGGGGCAGCAGCCACACCACGCGGGACAGCAGCTCCCTGTCCAGCTGCGCCTCGGGGGTCCTGGAGGAGCGCAGCCCCGCCTTCCGGGGGCCGGACCGGGCCCGGGCCGCTCTCCTGAGGCAGCCGGACCCCGAGTTCTCCTTCATGGACGAGGAGGAGGAGGACGAGATCCGAGTGTGAGGCCGGCCGGAGGTGGGGGCTCTTGGCTTTGTCTCCTCCCTGTGCCCCCAGCCCTGCAAGGTCAGCCAGGAGCTTGGCTGCGGGCCCCAGACAGACCCTGGACCTCATGGATAAGGGGCGCTGGCCGAGCCTGGGGGCCCTCGGAGGACTTGGAGCTGGCTCGGGTGCCTGACTGCTTTGCACACCCTGCCCTGCCTGAGCTCGTAGGACGGGGCTGTGTTCTCGCAGCGGGACTCGGCTTTCCTCTCCCTCTCCCGGCCTCCAGTGGATGTCCGCTGTCAACTTGAGTCTCTGCCACGTGCAGCGATAATAGGGCAGCCAGGGGCGGCCCAGGGGCGCAAGGGCTAAGGACACTTGACCTGCCTCTTTACTCCTGGCGTTTCTGTTGTGACGGAATAAACGCCCGTGACGGGTCACAAGTCCCGGCCCCTCCCTCCCTCCATCCCCAGCTCCTGCACGGGGAGCCCCACGGAGGAAAGGCGGACCGAATGTGTACAGTGAACGCGACCCTTTCCGCGGGGTGAGAACGGGATGCAGAACGGAAGGAAGGCCCCGGGGCATCTTGAATTTTCAAGAGGGGGCCCTTGCAGGATGACACTAGGACAGGCTGCAGCCCTTGCTCAGTCCCTCTGGGTTTGTTTGTTCTTGTTGTGTTTAAATCTTTTTAGAACGATACCAGGAACGTGTTTGTAGGCCTGCCACCAGAAGGAAAACGAATCCTTTTAGAAAACCTTTATACTAAGTACTTCCAAACTTTATTTAGAACCGTATGGGGTGGAGGTCTGTGCGTGTCTGTCCTCGGCCCCCTCCCGCATAGCTATTAACAACAACAGGCAGCCAGTGTAGAAAATTTCTGGAAAATGATTATTAAAAAATATGTCATTCCTATGGGGGGATAAAACCTCTTTTGACTGGGTTGTTCAACCCCCGACTGACTACGTCCCTCTGCCAGCAGAGCCCCCTTCCCCACTTCTGAGTCAGTGGTCCTGAGGGTATAGGGTTGTCAGATTTAGCAACAAAACAAAACAAAAACCAGAATGCTGAGTTAAATTAGAGTTTCAGGCATGCAAAGGATGATTTCTTAGTGTAAGTATGCCGCATGCCATGTTTGTAATACACTCATGCTAAAAAATTAGTTGTTGTCTTTCTGAAATTCAGCTTTCACTCTGCGCCCTTAGAACCCCACCCAAGGGGATCGAGTGGAGGTTGGGTGCGAGCCCCCAGGATTCACAGATGAGGATTTTTCTGTCCTGGCAACAGGCTGACTTCACCTTCTCCTGTCGCCTTGTAGCCAGTGGAGGGAGGGGGGCGGACAGAACCGCCACGGGGTCCAGCCAGGGCTGGCGGCGGGTGCAGCTGCCCTAGCCTCCGCCGCGGGGTCCAGCCAGGGCTGGCGGCGGGTGCAGCTGCCCTGCCTCCTGAGTTTTGCCAGATCTGGACTCAGACACCACCTTAGTTCTTGAAATGGGTGCTCACTGGTTTCCAGCCGTGCAGCCCCTGCCAGCTCCCGCCCTTGAAACCCATCTAGACAGCGCTCAGTTCCAGATTCTAAACTGTGTATTTTTTTTTTCCGTGAAAATGTTAAAACAGCAAGGAAACATTAAAATAAAAGGCCTTACAGCATGCCTGGTGTCTGTGTCTGCTTTTTGTCGGGGAGGGGTGGATAGGGGTGAGGGTGCGGATTCAGGGTGCTGGGGCTGCCCGAGCCCCGACGGCACTCGGGGGCCTGAGGGGGCTTCTCTCTCTGTCTCTTTGGGGCCCGCCCCTCCTGCACTACTCTCCAGCTTCTGGAAGGACAACGTCTCACGTGCCCATCAGCCTGGGCAGGCCCTTGTGGGCTCTGGGATTTGGTGTCCCGACTGCCACTTACCACTGGGGGCCCTCGGGCACTTAGTCATGCAGCCACTCTGTGCCTCATCCTCCCCATCTGTTAAATGGGCATCGTGCTGTTCTTACAGGGCTGGGCTGCAGACACAGTCACTGCCGTGGTGTTTGCCAAGGTTTTTTTGGTTTTTATTTATTTATTTATTTGTTTGGTTGCACCAGGTCTTAGTTGCGACAGGCGGGCTCCTTAGTTTCGGCTTGCCGGCTCCTTAGTTGCAGCACGTGGGCTCCTTAGTTGTGGCAGGCAGGCTCCTTAGTTGCGGATCCAGGGCTCCTTTAGTTGCGGTTCGCCAGCTTCTTAGTTGGGGCACGCAGCCTCCTTAGTTGGTGGCATGCAAACTCCTAGTTGCGGCACGCATGTGGGATCTAGTTCCCTGACCAGGGATCGAACTCGAGCCCCCTGCATTGGGAGCGCGGAATCCTATCCACTTCGCAACCAGGGAAGTCCCCCAAGTTGTTATTAAACCGAGGGAGGTACCGGACCCGGACCGTGTGGGGCTGCAGCCGGGAAAGGTGCCGCCCTCCTTCCCCTCGTCCCTTTCACCATCTGACCTGGAGAATCAACTTACAGGGGGTGTGGTCTCCGTTCAGCCTCGTGGCCCTGGTAGGTAGACTCTGGTGTCCCCATTTTATAGCAGAGATGTGCTCCAGAGGCCACATGGCCACCTTCTCCAAAGTCACCGAGTGGCAGAGTCAGAACGTTACTGATTCGAAACCCTTTCCACACTCACAGGCACCTCAAAGCTTCTTTATTTGGGGAAGTGAGAAGGGGGTGTGTCAGCCCTGGGTGGGACCTGGGAACCCCTCCAGCCCCTGGTCCAGCTCCTCCCTCACCTCTTCCCCTCTGACGTGGGCACGTCTCTAAGGAGAGAACGTCAGCCTGGGTGGGTCCGTCTCTGCCCCTGAAGCCCCTTGTATGCCCTCCTTTTCACCTGGGGGCCCCAGTGCAGCTGAGTTCCAGGAAACCCTGCCCCTCTCCCGGGGAGAAATTTGGGCATGTAGTCAGCCTCCCCCTGGGAAGCAATTAGAAGCATAATTAAAATGTCGCCCAGGTCCCTCTGTCCCTAGATTGGCTCATTAGAGGTAATGAGGGATGTGGCTAAGACAAGAGTTATGAGTAGGTGGGGTGGTGGCCCCGGGGGAGGGAGGGGGGATGGGCACACACCCAAGCCCAGCGGGAGTGATGGGGTCCCCCAGCTCTGGGGGGAAGGCTCAGGGGGATGGTACCTGGGTGACAGCTGTGCCTCCCAGAAACTGTACCGCCCACCCCCCATTCCACCCACATCCACTCACCCAGGTTCTTGAGGGTCTGGGAGCAGCCAGCCTCCCCAGGGCTGCAGACCTGCTTTTTGACTTGATGGGAAAGCGCTAGCTGTTTGGGGAGACCCAGGGGCCAGCTGGACCCACACTTTGGGAGCACGCTTTCTGACTGGGGGCTCAATGGGCGCGCCAGACAAGCATGGGATAACCAGACGGGACGAGCCTAGCCACCAACTCTAACCTTGGTTTGCTGTGTGGACTTGGGCCAGTTATTTTCCCTCTCTGGGCGGCTTCAGTTTCTCCATCTTTACAGTTAGGCACTAGCTCAGTCGTTTTCAGCTTTTTACCAGAAGTTCTGTTTGTCATGAGGTACCCAAACAGACTGAACAAGAGCTTCCCTGGTTGGGGGCGGATCCTTTCTCCCTCCCCTTTGTCTCTGGGTTTTGCCGGAGAAGCCTAGGGCCCCCTCAGGGCACATCTTACCCTAAAGATGTTCTGTAGGGCCCCTTCTACCTCTGACAACTCAAAGCAAGAGCTGGGAACTCTTTCTGGGTAATCATTTAGTAATTTTAATTCAGATCGCAGCGAATACTTCCAAAAATGTGATGGGACCCCAAAACCTTCTGCTTCAGGCAAGGCTGCAGTCATGGCCCAAAGATGCTCTGGGATGAGTCCCACCCTGGTCCAGCCATCACTGGGGTGTCTCCCCGCCGCCTCCCCAGCTCCTCAAGGAGTTCTGTTCTAATCTGTTGGGTACATGCTGTTCTGCACTGTTCACATGATAAGGGCTGTGTGTTCTAGGACTGCCACTGGCCCACCGGGCTAGCAAGTGGAGGAAGTGGATACGGACCCACGCGCGGGCTCCAAAGCCCTTCCTTGCAATCACTGTCCCAATCTTGTGATGTCCGCTTTGGGGCCCGAAATGACCAGGCGGCGCCAGTGACCTGCTGGGCAGAGCAGTGCAGAGAGAGGCCGAGCTGACAGCCCCGCTGGTAGGGGTGTGCCCAAGAGAAAGGGGGCTGTGCTTCCTGCCAGGTGAGGCGCTGGCAGCTCCAGGACCCTTTCAGCAGCTACTGCTGCTTTCCATCATCCAAAGGGCCCCGCAGGTAGTGCCAAGTGTGCTGAGCAGAGCAGCCCCTGCCATTCCCAGGGTCACTCAGGGCTGGCCTCTGTCTCTGTCCACAGCCTCAGGGCCGTGCTCCTGCTGGGGTCCAGGCTGGTCCCATAGGGCTCCCCTTCGACTCCATTCTCACACCCCAGCCACCCCCTCCTCTTCACCAGGGTTGCACCATGTTCTCAGAAGAAAGTGGACACAAGGGATAGGAAAGGAATAGAGGGGTTCAGGGCACCCGCGGGAAGGGGGTTCGTAGGATCTTCACATTTTAGCATCTGGTTCACCACCAGCCTCCACCCATTTTACAGTTGGGAAGACAGAGGCTGGAGAAGGCGGCACTGGCTGAAGTCTGGTGAGTGGAGCAGAGCAGAGGCTGTGAGATGGACGGGGCTGGGTTGGCTCTGTGGTGTGACAGACGAGGGAAAGGCTGAGCCGGTAGACTGCGTGGGGCAGAGCTGGGAGTGCGGTCCTTGTCGGGGTGGCAGAGGGGGCGGGGTTGGCTATTTCAGGTGTGTGTGTGGCACCCCCACCCTTCCCCGGCTTACCTCGGCCTTCACACAGCAGCCTCCCAAATGCCCGGACTCCACACTTGGGCGGGGACCCTTCCTGGCGCAGCGCTAACCTGCATGCAAAGTATCCCTGGACCCCGGAGACCCTGAGTTAAGATGCAGGAAGGCGTGGATAAACAACAAGGTCCTACTCTATAGCACAGGGAACTATATCCAATCTCCTGGGATGAACCATAATGGAAACCATAATTAAAAAAAGAACGTATCTATGTGTATAACTGAGGCACTTTGCTGTACAGCAGAGACTGGCGCAACACTGTAAATCAGCTCTACTTCAACAAAAAAAGAAAGAATTTTAAAAAAAAGATGCAGGAAAGCAAGTTAGGAATAAAAGCAGGAGAGCTTATCTCTCTACTTCCCCTTTGCAGGCTTCTCAAGGCCTTGTGGCTTCCTGCCAACAGCCAGATGGGAGACTGGGAAGAACGCTTTGGGGGAGGAAAGGTACTTGCAGGCAGATGGAGGTTGGAGGCTTTGCCTCTGAAGCCTGTTGCTCTTACACACGGAGCTTCTGTTCTCCAAGACGGAGACTCCCAGGAGAGGCAGGAGGAGCCAGGGAGAGCTGCCTTCCCGGCGGGACTCCAACCCTGAAATGAACTTGCTCTGTTAAAAAATGCCCACCGAGGGCTTCCCTGGTGGCGCAGTGGTTAAGAATTTGCCTGCCAATGAAGGGGACACGGGTTCGAGCCCTGGCCCGGGAAGATCCCACATGCTGCGGAACAGCTAAGCCCGCGGGCCACAACTGCTGGGCCCGCGTGCCACAGCTACTGAAGCCCACGCGCCTGGAGCCTGAGCTCCGCAACAAGAGAAGCCACCGCGATAAGAAGCCCGCGCACCGCAGCGAAGAGTAGCTCCCGCTCGCCGCAACTAGAGGAAGCCCACACGCAGCAATGAAGACCCAACACAGCCAAAAATAAATAAATAAAATAAAATCTATCTTTAAAAAAAAAAAAGGCCCGCCAAGCCCACAGGGCTCTGCTGAATTTTGTTTTGTTTTGTTTTGTTTTGATTTGTTTTTACCCTGCTTTGTTCCAAAAAGGATTGGAGGCAGCTTACAAAAATACTTAAAATACAGTAGGACAAAAAATAGATCAGAGAGAAAACAAGCCTTGAACAAACAGAACAATGAACCAAGAGTGTGGTACACAGAAATGTGCTCAAAGTGGACTGAAAATTGGGCTCTGAGCTTCCTATCAGTCAAAGCGAAAAGGGAAATCCACCCGTTACAAGACTCACGAAGTCTATGAGGTTGGAACAATCCCAAAAGAAGCTTTTTCTGACACTGAGGTCTGAGAGGGATCCCTGTGAGATCTCTGAAGGGGACAGGGGTGGGGTCCCAGTCAGTGTCTTCAAAACAGTCTCATAACAGATAAGGTCATCAAACCCCATGAAGCTGCATTTCCGCTCAGGGTAAATCAAAGACTTGATGCAGATCAATAAAACCAACTCTATGGCGCGTCAGACCCAAGCCGTCCAAGTCATTCATCCAAGAGATGCAATTTATTTATTTATTTACGGCTGCGTTGGGCCTTCGTTGCTGCGCGCGGGCTTTCTCTAGTTGCGGCGAGCGGGGGCTACTCTTCGTTGAGGTGTATGGGCTTCTCATTGCGGTGGCTTCTCTTGTTGTGGAGCACGGGCTCTAGGTGCGCAGGCTTCAGTAGTTGTGGTGCATGGGCTCAGTAGTTGTGGCTCACAGGTTTTAGAGCGCAGGCTAGAGCTTAGTTGTGGCGCACAGGCTTAGTTGCTCTGTGGCATGTGGGATCTTCCCGGACCAGACCTCGAACCCGTGTGTTACTATGTGGGTATTATTTGAGAAGCAGCCACACGGAGGTGGCTTTCTAATTTCTCATCCTGGGGTCAGAGTGAAGAGTGTGTTGAGAAGGTCGTCCCACAGTGTGATGGTATTAAGAGGCGGGGCCTTGGCGAGGTGATTAAGTTTAGATGAGGTCATGAGCGTGGGGCCCCCATGATGAATTAGTGTCTTTATAAGAAGAGGAAGAGAGACCAGAACACGTTCTCTATCTGCCATGTGAGGACACAGTGAGAAGGCAGCCCTCTGCAAGCCAGGAAGAGAGCCTTCACCAAAAGCCAGCCATGCTGGTACCTGCATCTTGGACTTCCAGCCTTCCAAACTGAGAGAACTAAATATTTGCTGTTTATGCCCCGTCCGTGGATCCCGAGCTGACTGAGACAGTGGGTGAGTCCCCACGTGCTTGGAACCATTCATCTAGATGGGGAGTCGTGGGCCAGAGATGGAATTCAAAGCCAAGCGAAGGAGCGAGAGCAAGGGCAGCTGGATGGATTTGATGAACACCCAACAGGAGGGAAGGTCACGGTGGGCGAGCTTCTCCCCCGGGGCCCTGCCGTATCCCCCGCCCCCCACCCAGGGGTCAGGGTGGTTTGCCCAGGCAGGGAGCGGGGAGGGGTTGCCCTCTGCTTGCCCGCTCCTGCCACCCACACCCGCTGGGCTTTGTACACAGCGTGGGCACCATTGATTCCCTGTCAACAGTCAGGTCCTGGAGGGTTTTTCCATCTGTACCCTGTCTGTGTGCCTTGTGACCCAAGAATCATTTAGAGATAACAGACCAGAGGGCAGTCTTTCGTGATGAAAATGGACTTTTTCTTCCCAACTCCATTGACCCAAAGGCAGGTCAAACCTGTGACCTTGACCCCAATTCATCACAGTGAGTGCACCAGGCCGGGGCAGGGAGAACCAATCCATCACGGTGTCGGCGACCAGCTGGCGGCCTGTGTTCTAGAAAAACCTTCCCCTCCCTCCTCCAAGTGAGGGTGAGGGGCTCATGCACCCCAGGAGGTACACAGGACCATTCACCGGGACGCAGGAATAGATTAGAACTTTGCTCATAATTATGGTTTATCTTGACTTTCTACCCTGAGCAGACCCAGTGCTGCCAGCTCCTTCTGTGAGTCCCAAGGCCTCAGAGTCAAGGCCCTTCCCAAGCCCCCAGCACCTTGAACCTCTTTCAACAGCCGACCTGCCAGATTCAGCCCTGCAGAACCAGAAGCGGTTTCCCAAATGCACTGCTGCTGCTGGGAACATTGTCCTTTACCACCTTGACAACGCTCTACCTGTCACAGCTGTGTTTCTCATCCTCGCAGAAACCTGTCCTTGCCATCCAGGTGAGAGCTAAGTGGTCTTGTAGTAGTTCTGCAAATGCCCCTGTGTCCCACATCGTAGGATTCAACTGCCTGTTTATCAGTGACTTTCCCCTCTGTCGTCATTTCCGTATTGTTACTGTACCAAATTACTACAAATTTAGTAGCTTGAGACAACACAAACGTATTGTCTTATAATTCTGGAGGTCAGAAAGGGCCTTCACCGAGCTAAAATCATGGTGTTGGCAGGTGTGCTTTCCTTCTGCAGGTTCTAGGGGAGAATTTGTTTCCTTGCCTCTTCCAGCTTCTGGAGGCGCCTGCATTCCTTGCTTCATGGTTCCACCTTCCATCTTCAAAGCCAGCAGTGTAGTATCTTCAAACCTCAATCTCGGGACTTCCCTGGTGGCGCAGTGGTTAGGAATCCGCCTGCCAACGCAGGGGACACGGGTTCGAGCCCTGGTCCAGGAAGATCCCACATGCCGCGTAGCAACTAAGCCCATGCGCTACAACTAATGAGCCTGCGCTCTAGAGCCCGTGAGCCAAACTACTGAGCCAGCATGCCACAACTACTGAAGCCCGTGCGCCTAGAGCCCATGCTCCGCAACAAGAGAAGCCACCGCAGTGAGAAGCCCGCGCACCGCAATGAAGAGTAGCTCCCACTCGCCGCAACTAGAGAAAGCCCGCGCGCGGCAACAAAGACCCAACGCAGCCAAAAATAGATAAATAAATAAATTTATATTTTAAAAAATCTCAACCTCTCTCTCTCTCTCTCAGTGGAGGAGAAAAGCTACTGGGACACCCCTGGGCCGAGACTGACCCCCTTGAGCCCAAAAGGGCCTGTCTCCTTGACTCTCTGGCTAGAAATATAATCCACATGCCCACTGATAGGCCCGGGCACAGGCCTCAGGGGTCTTGGTCGTCTCACCAGCCTGGCAAGGGGTGGGGCCCTTTCCTGCACTGCAGCTTGGTCAGCTGGAAGGAGCTTGGCTTTGGGGTCATGCAGACCGAGCTGATGGTCTTTGGGAAGCTCGGGTAAGCCACTGAGCCTTGGTTTTATCGACTGTAGAAGAGAAAGAAGAATGCCTCTTTCTGGGGTTTTGTGGGAATTAGAGAGAATGCAGTGTACATGGTGACACTCCCCTGATGAAGTCCTAGTAATTAGGAGCAATGGTTGGGAGTCTAGGTCCCCATTCCGACATCTACTGGCTGTGTGAGCTTTAAGCAGTTGCTTCACCCCTCCGGGACTTGGTTTCTTTATCTGTAAAATGGGCAGAAGCAACTTGAGTGGTTGCAGTGAGGACCAGAGGAGGCCCTGATGAGAAATGTGGGCAGGGCCATTTGTCCTGTTACTGGGCCCACGCCCCTAGGGAAGAGGGATGCCTTTTCCAGAGTAGAGTTTCTAGAACCACCGACTCCCAGAGGCCAAGCTCCCGGGCAAAGACAGAGCAGGACCATCCCAGCTGCTGGACCTCCCTGCCCTGCACTTCAAGTGGCTACTGGGAGGCCAACAGCTGTCCCCGCCAAGTGGCATCTCGGGCACAAAGAGCAGTGGAGGGGGCAGGGCACGCTGGCTCATTGTTCCTGGGCCAGAGCAGCAGCTGTGGGTCACCCGGGGCTCCTCTGACCTCCGGCCCCTCCCAGCAGCTCTCCAGCGGCAGGCCCGTCCCTACGGGACTTAGAGCGGCCCCTCCAGCGGCACCTGGACAGCGTGGAGTCCCCTGCCCCTCACAGCACCTGAAGGAATAATACATTTGGAGAAGGGGTGGCCCCATGGACCCAGGGGCTCGTACTTCACGGCACGTACCTCCGGTGTCAGGCTTCCGCGTGGACTTCTCACTAACCTCAGCCCCCCAGGGAGGTCACATGTGGGTCCCATTTTACTGATGCAGAATCTGGAGCTCAGAGGGGTGATTAAATGACTGGCCTGGGGTGGCAGACTGGGGACAGGCAGAACCAGGATGTGAACCCCGATCTGTCTGATGCCAGCCCGCCCCTTTTCCACCAACTCAGGTCCCGCGTGGGGAGTGAGGCAGATGCACGGGTACCGGGGTGGAGGGGGCGTGGCCGCACTCTGCTCAGAAAAGCACGGGCTGGGACTGATCCATGGCTGGGCGGGGCGGGATGACCTCGGCCAGTTCCAGGCGGCCAGAGAATTCCAGAGCTCCCTGCACCCACTGCTTTTCAGAGCTGTGCTTTTATAAAGGGAAGGGAGCTGGGGAATGATGATTCGGGAAATCTGAAGCCAGAGTTAAACGAGAACCGCATAATGATGGTGATGAAAAATTCACGCCACTGTTTGCGCAGTGACTTGTGCGTCCACTTCGCAGCCGTGAATTAATTGAGAAATGAAAACACAAATGCTCGGGACCAGCTGCAGGGCGCAGAAAAGCGGATGGGGAGGTTCCAGAAGGGACACCCCAGAGCCGGCCCCTCCTCCAGGCATTGCCAGGGTTCCTCTGGCCTGGGGCTCGCTTTCTGTCTTTGCACAATGAGGGTGATGGTCCACTTGGGAGCCGTGAGGTAGGAGTATAAATGGGGGGTGTCAGGTGGGCAGCTCCCCCGGTTCTGAGAGAGACAGAGGAGAAGCAAAGTGCCTGGGAGGTGGGAGACCCAGATCCGATTCTGATGCTCATTAGCTGTGGGACCTTGGCAACCACCCAACTTCTCTGCATTTTTACTTGCTCATCTGTGAAAGGGGTGAGGACTTCCGAAACTCAGTTTCCAAGTGGGAAGGTGTATTCGTTTCCTGAGGCCGCTATAACAAATGGCCACAAAGGTGGTGGCTTAAAGCAATAGAAATTTACTCTCAAAATTGAGGTGTCATAGGTTGGTGTCTTCTAGAGCCTCTTTTTTTTTTTTTTTTAATATTTATTTGGCAGCGCTGGGCCTTAGTTGCAGCACGCGGGATCTTCATTGCCCGAGTGCGGGATATTTAGTTGCGGCATGCAGACTCTCAGTTGTGGCACGTGGGATCTAGTTCCCTGACCAGGGATCAAACCCTGGCCCCCTGCATTGGGAGCGTGGCGTCTTAGCCACTGGACCACCAGGAAAGTCCCCCTTCTGGAGCCTCTGAGGGAGGAGTGGCCCGTGCCTCTCTCCTGGCTTCTGGTGAGGGCGGCCACCTGTGGGGTCCCTCGGTAGCTCTACACCTCCAGTCTCCTCCCGTCTTTGCGAGGCTTCTCCTCTGGGGCTCTTCTGTATCTCAGCGTCTCCGATCTCCCTGTCTTTTCTCTTACAAGGGCACCAGTCATGGGTTCAGGACTCACCAGAATTCCAGGATGATCTCACCTTGAGATCCTTAACTTAATTGCATCTGCAAAGACCCAGTTTCCAAATAAGGTCACGTTCACAGGTACCAGGGGTCAGGACTTGGTGTATCATCCTGGGGGAGACAAGTCAACCCACTGCAGAAGGTATTTTGGGGAAGAAAAAACCATGCATGTGGGCCCGCTCGCCGCAAAAATAAACAGTGAGGCAGCGGGAGGAGGGAGTCCCTGAATGCCACACCCTGTGCATACCTTCTGGGACGGGAGCCTGTGTTGGGCGTGGGACCCTGGCTAGGAGAGGAGGGGAGCTGCCAGGTTGGGTGTGGATGGAGGGCGGGGTCTCCACGGGGCCTCCTTCCTTCTCCGCCCTCCTGATGAACTCTACGGGCCACCAAGGTGCTGAGAGGCACCCCCGCTGACGTCTCCGGGGCTATAATTCTTATTTTTTATCATCACTAAGTGGTCTCCCCACACTCCATTCTTCAGGGTGCTGTGTGCTGCTCTCCTAGCCCCGCAGGGGCTCCCCGCTGGCTTCGTGATAATAACCAAGCCCTGAAAAGCACTCTGGCTTCGAGGCCTTACTTCCTTCTCCAAGTCTTTTCCCCACACTGCCCTTCTCTAAACCCACGCTTCGACCGAAACAAACCCTTGCCCGTGCCCCCGCCCTGCCACGTTGCTGCGTGGCCCCATGCTTTCACATCTCTGGCCCCTCCTCCGCAACACTCTGCCACCCGTCTCTCCTCCGAGAGCCCTCCCCGCCACCCGTCCCTGCCCCTGCACGACGAGCTCCCCTCTCGGCATTTGTCCCTCTGCTACCAACACCCGCCGTGGTACAACCGTGCTGGTGAAAGTCTCCCCCGCTTGACTGGGCCATCCCTGAAGGCAGGGACACAGTCCTTTGTTTTGGGGTCCCCAGTTCCTGGCACAGAGATGCTCTGGGATGTTTATGGAAGGAAATCACCAAGAGACCTGGGTTTGAATTTCATCATTATTACCTTCCCAACCACGTGTCCTTGGCCTTGCTGGGCCTCCATGGTCTCACGTAGCCCCTGCCAGGTTGGCAGGAAGGAGCCTGACATGAGCCTGTGTCCACAGATGAAGGTGTTTTGGAGACTAATCAACGTACATGAAAAGGGCCAAAGAAGCAAGGCCGCCTATCCCAGGGACCCTCTGCCCCTCTGCCTCCCTGGGGTGCAGTTGGAGGGAGCTCCCAGCTTCGGGAGACTCCGGGATCCCTTCCCTGCCCCTCCCAGCCCCGCCTGGGCTCCAGGTGTCTATCTCTCCGGCCGTTTTCTTTTCTGATCCAGGGTTCAAATGTGTGGGAGCCACAGCCAGGCGGAAACAAAAGCCAGCAGGTTCCCTCTTGCTGGCCCGGCCGCAGGCCTACAGGGCGCGGCCCGCCTCGCCCTGCTGCGTCCAGGAAGGAGGGCGCTTGGATTGCGGGCATCGTCCCCCAGCAACTCTGAAACCTCAGCTCCATCGGCAGGGAAGGCCTGCTGGGGGCCAGAGCAGGGGCAGGGGGAAGCCTGCCCCAGTTAGAGCCCGCAGTTGCTCCTTGGAAAGCCTTTTCCGACGTCCCCAGCCTTGGGGGCAGGGGTGGTGTAACGATGATAAAACAACATTTGCACAGAGATTTCGTTTACAAAGCACTTTCTCAGGGGTGGGAGGCGCCGGGGTGGCGGGCGGAGCCCGCGCTGCGAGGCCGCGGCCTCCGGTTGGTCTCACCTCCCCCCCGCCCCCCGGCCCAGCACGGGATCGTGTGCGTGGTAGACAAAGCGCTATTCATCCCGCAGTTTCCGAGTCCTCGGGAGTCGGTCCTTTTCCCTCTCTCCCGTGAAGAGCTCACTCTGGCTTGTCGCTCAGGCCAGAGGAGGGGCGTCAGGAGTCCCAGAGGGAGGGGTGGGCTGGGGCCTGATTGAAGGGAAATGCGGGGGCCGAGGGGGGCTCCCTCCTTCTGCACCGCTCGCCCCGCCCCCAGGCCCTCCGGCTCCCAGGCGCCAGCTTGCGCGAATCCAGAAGACTCAGCGCAGCCTCGCCGGGGCTGGGTTGTGCAACTCTCCTCACAGCTCACCTGTGGCTGTGTCTTTACATTAAAAGTACGCGCAGGGCACACGGGTTCGAGCCCCGGTCCAGGAAGATCCCACATGCCGCGGAGCGGCTGGGCCC